CGACAGCGCGACTGTTTGACCATCTAAGATGGTTGTCTCCGTTTCTTATCAGGATTAAAATTTGTTGCCAGAGGATTTGGAAACACGGCGCAAACTGGGCAGAATACATGCCTGGAGCATTACAGAAAGAATGGGACGAATGATGGGAAGAATTCAGGGCGCTACAGACATTTTCGATTCCCAGATGTGGGTTGAAGAACTTTTTAAATAACTCTGCACTCCACCAATTTCACGTGTTTGCAGACGCCAGTTCGAGTGCCTATGGCGCAGTGGCCTACCTCAGGATCGAGGATACAACCGGAAATGTGAGCGTCCAACACTTGCTCTCAAAGTGAAGGGCAGCTCCTACCAAACGTGTCACCCTATTCCTCGCTTGTAGCTAGTTGCGGCAGTTCTGGCCGCTCGTTTAATGAAGTTCCTGAACGAGACGCTGGGAAACATGCATTGGAACATAATTTACTACTTGTCGACTGACTCCACTGTCACTCTATGTTAGATCCGAGGTTCTGCGGCCAAGTGGAAACAGTTTGTTTCTAACAGAGTGAAAGGAATACAGACGGCAACGGATCTATTCTGCAGGAGCCATTACCCTGGAAATGAGAGTACAGCGAATCTCTTGACTAGAGGAATCTGCGCAAAGGAACTTTTAGCTAACGACCTCTAGCGGAGAAGACCTGAATGGCTATCAAGAGCAAAGGAATCCCGGCTTGGCATAACTGCTGCCGTCGAGCTTACAGACGTGGATAATGATGGGATAGTAGAATTGAAACGTGATGTTCCAGTTCTCGTGAGCGTGGCAAATGAGCCGATTTTCAGCCCTGACAAGTACAGCACTTTGACCAAGATGACAAGGATGACAGCTTGAATAAAGCGTTTCACAGACAACTGCCGTTCATTGACGACTCATCGTGAAGGTACACTTACGGTTCAAGAACTTCGAGGAGCCGAAAACGTCTGGTTACATCAAGTACATCGAGAAGCGTTTGTTAATGAAATGCCGCAACTAATGAAAGGAGAAAACTTGGAAAATATCTCGCCAATACGAGACCTCCGTCCTTCTATTGACGACGAAGGGCGCGTTCGAATTAGGGGCCGCCTCCAAAACGCGGCGGTGTCCTACAACGAGGGAAGCCCCGTACTACTTCCAGGTGAACACTCTGTGAAAAGACGGATTGTTCAACATGCTCAAAGAGCGGTGATCCACGGAGGGGTCGGTGACACCTGAAATGAAGGGCGCGCTAGCTTTGGGTTCCGCGTGCACGACAGGCTGTTAAACGGGTTACTGGAAAGTGTCTACTTTGTGCCCGTTTCGCCTTAAAGCGGCGAGCGCGCCAATGGCTCCCCTACCAAGTGACCGAGTCTAAAGGCCTGTTCCCACATGCAGCGGAGCGCTACAAGCATAGCGCTTACCTCGCGCTAAGCGCGTGCTGATGGAAGCGTTCACCAGCTTTGTATCGCACCGTCAAAACTGTTGCTCATGGCAGACGATAAGTAGCTGACGGCACGTGAGGAGCGCTACATCAGCGCTTCGCTGCATGTGAGAACCGGCCTTTAAGCTCTCGTTTTTCTGAAGTTACGGGAGTAGACCTTGCCGGACCCATTTTCGTGAAAAACTGTAGCGTAGTGAAAGCGGTCTTTGTGTTATTCACTTGTGCTGTTGTTAGAGCCATTCATCTTGAGCCTGTTGTAGACCTTACGGCAGACTATTTCCTTATGACTTTCAGAAGATTCTGCACCAGGCGTGGCACCCCGCGAGTTGTGTGCTCGGATAACGCTGCAACTTTTAAAAGAGCGATCACTTTCAAGACCGATCAATTTCATTTATTCCAGTTCCAATGAGCCAGGGGTATTGACTCCGTCTCATTTTTTGTTTGGATGTCAAATTCTATCTCCTACAGAGGCTTCAGAAGAGTGAGTCTCTGCTAGAAATCTTCAATCCTTGAATTCACCGGCAGCGTGGGATGGAGCACATGTAGAAACGACGGCAGCATGAATACCTTCATGTGCTCCGCAGTTTTCACTCCAGAGAAGTGCAGCGCACTCATAACCTAAGAATAGGTGATGTAGTAATAATTCATGATGATAGTGTGCACAAATTGTTCTGAAAGACTGGGGTCATTATGGGACGCATTCAAGGCGAAGATGGTGTAGTACGGGCATGTAAGGTAAAGTTACCATAAGAGACTGAAATTGTCAGGCCTGTGCAGCGTTTGTACCCCCTTGAAATTCCCACCTCGGGCCCCGGAGTGTGTTGAGTATTGTAGACGAAGAGGAAGAATGTTCGCGCGACGAAGGATTGAAGACGAGGAAGGCCGCAAAAAGGGGCGCGGGGCGGAGGACATCGAGACGATCAAGGCGGGGGTTAGCGTTGTACCTATCTGCTAAGTAAACGCGATTTTCTATTTTTTACACCGTGGACATCGTTTCTCTATCTATGTAAAACAAGGGGAGGAGGAAGGGGAGAGGGAGAAGGAAGAAGGGGAGGAGGAGGGCGGAGGAGAGGAAATGGAGGGGAGGAGGAGAGGAAGGAGCTGGAGGAACGAGGAGAGGAGGAGGAGGGAGGCGGGGTATACCCTCCCCTCAGTACCCTTCTTTCCTTCTCCTCAAGAGCTGCGCTGAAATTCGGCGTTACAGGGTGCTGTGAACGTCTTTCATCTTTTACCTGCGCTTGCAAATGTATATAGAGCAAAACACATCAATGTCTCATACCTCCTCAGAGCTCGTTCACGACACTACTCGCCGCACATGTGCTGCATTTCATCATTGCAACCCTAAACCGTTGGCATATAAGTCGGCCATAGCAAATGACGCATTCGGGATGACAGCTGTCATACTCCGGAGGCGAAATACGACAGGCACGTTCGCGGCCGTGTCCGCGAACCAACACAGCGCGCCGACTTGAGAGCTCCCCGCTGGAAAGTCCACAACTGTTTTCTGACGCACGCCGCTGGCCGGGTAGGTACACAGCGTTTACTTAACGACGTTATTCCGAGGTATTCAAAATGGATTGTTGATGAAGGCGTAAAAGGGAGTTCGAGGGTTGTTCTTTTTTGCGTACCCAGGAATGACACTTTTCGCATACCCAGGAATTACTTCACTTCTATATAATCAACTCTATGGATCTTGCGGTAACTAAACTTTCATTCCATTACGAGCCACAATCTAGTCCAAGGTACGCGCATATACAAACTCGAACGCATACAATGAACATGCAGGTCACGGGGCATTCATGTCGCTTCACCGATTTGGCCTATAGGATAGGTATAGAGAGATAACCAGCGCCATGGCGTTTCGCTTTAAATGCTGTCTGAAATGTTTTACTGGCTCGTAAAGCCGGACACGAGTTCACATTAAAGTGAAAATAAGAATTGCAAAAACCTTCGAACCATTGTCGAATGCTTAGTAGGTAGTGTCTCTGAGGTTAATGTCGCTCTCGGATACGTTAAGCAACGTACCTCAAAGAAACTAAGAAAGGTAATCAAAACTAAAATCAGCTCTCATTTTTTTTATATTACGTATGATAAACATCCAATAAGTGGACGCCCGACCTGTAAGCAGTTACCAGCCATGTAGCTACCTGACAAACGTTGTAACTCGGCGCCGGTACCCCTTGTGGCGCGTGTCATTTTTCACCTTCAAAAAGAGGCATGGAGGCCGATGCGCAGTTCCTCTAAATACTCCCTGCGTAGATACTCAGAGCTTAAGACACGCAGGGTGCGGCTGATAGTGTTCACGTTTCTCGCTTCGTGATTGGTTCATTGGCGTTCTGATTGGTCAATGCCTCAATCTTATCGGCTGCGGAGCGATGATGAGAAGCACGGGACTGGAAGCACCCTGTGTTTCTTGAGTTGTCAGTGACTATATATTGTAAGCGAAATTGACACAATCGTTGTCACCTAATAGAATAGCAGACCCTGCAATTAGAGTTCACAAGCAACAGCAATAACGACGAAAAAAGCAAGTAAAAGACACAAACAAAAACACGAGCCGGTAAGAGGGTTGATAAAAGCCGCTACCAGGAGGCGAAAGTTTCTGACCACGAAATGTGTAGTTCTCCTACAGCGTATGCACATCAAGTGTAGTAGGTATGCTACTAAAAAAAATACGCATGTCACAAATAATTGTAAAGCGGAAGAGTCGTGAGTTAATAAAAATAGTATGCAAAATTGTCTCACGAATAAGGTTGGTGGAAGCATTTCGGAATTCTTCCCACCGTGACTTGTCCAAATTTATTTCGCCATGATGTCACAATGTTTTCATCAGAGTCGCATTGATAATGACTCCTACGATAATACTGTTTCGTTCTTTTATTTTTTTTTATATAACATACTTCATAATAGAAAACCAAATAATTATATAGCTGTCATTCAATCCCATATAGAATTTGCACTGCGCTGTCAAAGAGAATAATGAATTCAATTTAGCTGAACAATGAAGTCAAAATATAGTGTAACGTCACACTTCGCATCTCCGTTGTTACGATAACATTTCGCTGTCGCGTACTCGGAATGTTTCCGATTGACAACGTCTGCGTCTAAACCATGCCCTCAATACAATCAGGCAAAACACACCGACTTCTTAGTCTACAACTTCAGAAAAACGTTTCGTTGAAACTAGTCTATCTAATAACACTGTACAAGAAACGACTCCTTCTGTAATGCTTTAGCATGATGCCTCCATTCGAATTTGTCAAACTGAGGCACTTCACCCTTAAGAAAGTTTACCCATTTCAATCATTTAAAATCTTTGAGATTCCAACTTCTCAAATTTGGCATCGCTGCTCTAGCGTGTAGCCTTCGGAATGTAATTATGTGTAGATTACAGAGTTTTATATCCCAGAAGCTCGCAAGACGTGATATCTCACCCTTGTCTCCATATTACACCGTCGTAAAGACGCCGTTCAAACATGCCCTGAATATCCAAAAACAAACAAAAAATCAAAAACTCGTTGTAATATGCCAAGAAGAAAATGACTCGAAAGCATTCTTTGCGTCACTCACTTGCGTCTGAAGATAACGATGAAGTTCCGACGACGCAGCCATTCCCAAAATGCTACGCTCGAAAAGCGCCTCATTCGTTAATCTTGCCGCTGTAGCTCGCAAGCTGCCGCAGCAGCGATCCTTGTCTGAGGGGCGCCCATAGCTCAAACACTTATATATCCTCCTCACTGAACGCAACTCGGGCTAATCCGAAAGTCACCCTAATTAGTGTTTCATGAACCGCGCGCGCTTGAGTCACCCAGTCGCGAAATTTGAGAGCATAAAAAAAAACAGCAGCAGCTATGACAACAAAGCTCGCGGAAAAGCACAGGCCGCCGTGTTGTGTCGCGGCGATGGCAAACAAGGCAAACGGGCGCTAACTAGCCTGATCGGAGACCACGCCCACGGGGCAAGATGAAGATGTCAGTAACATCTGCGTGCGGCCCGGGGCCTTCACGACGGCGTGCTCGCTTCGGGGAACCGCAGCTATTGTGCCGGAAGGACGCCAATCTCTCACGGCTTTTTACTCCGTCCACCGCTCGGAGATTGGTGCCTGGTGGCCGTCGAGAGTGTATGCCTTCAGTACGAAGCCCGCGCATTTTGTGTCAGTTCCATCAGGATGCTTGTTTTCCCCCTGACAATCGCTACGCGAAGCGCTGAAGAATTGAAAGTATTAGGCGGGTCTCTGTTGGTCTTATGTCTGCTTGTCGGTTCCTATGCCTCCGTATAATATTCGCCTCGTAACTGATCGAATCAGGGTAGTGCAAGCTCTATGCGGGCTAATGGACGTCGTGGGCGCATTTTGTTTGTGTGAGAGCGTCATTCTTTGTCGTAACTCTCATCGGCTTAGCCAATTTTTTTTTCTAGACATTAGGGTGCGTTGCAGTCATTGTTGTATAAAGGCCTCTCCTCACGGAGTCGCGCGCCACTTTTCATGCGGACCTGTCTTTCTTGCGGACGAAATGATGTCTTTGGGTCACATACAGTGCTTTCTATACACTTCTCAGCTTCCAATGTTTTATTGTAAACTCTGCACTTCTAATTGCTGGATACGGATGAAGAAGTCATTTTCGTTAGCCAAAAATGAATTGCCATAAGCAATTTTTTTTCGTAGATTCCTGTAACGCAGTATTTAAGGAGCGGTTGCTTGTACTTTGTTGAGAAGACTTTCAGCAATCGTTTCGAAAGTGAATAAGCGCACCTTGTTTCTAATTTTCCTCGCTAAATTCAGTCATAAAATTAGCATACATCACTTGAGGTCGTAATATCACGTGACATGAGAACTGAACACTGTGACATCAATTTCTCCGCTAAATGTGCCGGCGAAATTAGTGACGTTGTTTCAAGTCGTGGTGTCACGTGTAACGGGTTTATGTCGCAGCTTTTTTTTCTAAATGTTGAAGAAAGATGGACGACACGTGATCTGACGTCAGGCGTCATGGTAATGCGGCCGTCACGTAACATCACGGTGTCAAGTCGTGGTATAGCGCACCTCTCTTTATCTCTCTCCCTCTCTCTCACACTCTCCACGAAATAAAAAAAAATTAAACATTCCCAGCTTTTATTTTGCAAGGCCGCGAGTGCAGCGCCCCTGCGTGGCAGTCACTCTTCTGTGCTCGACTGCACAGCCCATGTTGAAAGTTTTTCCATCTACGTACGCGCCATTTTAATTTGTTCAACCAAGAACTACAAGCTCGTTATAGTTAGGGTTCGAAGTTTCCGGTTTAAACCGGTAAAAAACCGATAAAAGTACGCCGAATTCATTTTCGGAAATTCAGTTTTAACCAAAAATGGCCAGTTTTCAAGTTCGGAGTTTTTGGTTTAAACCAATGTACGCCGAGTCGATTCTCTAAAATTCTGTTTTAACCGAAAATGGTCACTTTTTTATGGCTGCATCGAGATGGGCGGGGGGAGGGTGGGGTAGGAGGGAGGGGAGAGAAGGCGTTGCAAGTTAAGACATTGTGTGACCTCTTCGTGATTGCCCCCTTCCAAGGATCAAGATGCAACAAAAGAGGTCTTGGGTTGGTCTTCGCGGGACATCTGTGTCCTTTCTGTGATGGAGCTTAATGTGTCAAGTTCGTGGTCCTAAAAAAAAAAAGTTCGGGTGTGGGCTAGTATAAGGTTTTTCGCATCATGCAAGATCTGCAGTCAGAGTTTAGTGAATACACGAAATATGTTGTGCTTCAAAACGTCGCACTGTGTCCCTTTGGTAGTCACATTTGGTTGATTTGCCGATTTTGGCTCAGGCACGTCTTCAACTCCTCAGCCTGCCAGTGTCCAGTGTTAACGTTTAGAGGGCATTCTCGAAACCCAGGGTCATTAACAGAAAAGAATGAGCGTGGATCGACGAGGCGAACCTGGGAAAGTACATGTGGGTTTACTATAATCAGATCACGTAATCCTGATGTACACAAACTGAAGTTCCCTGTTTTTGGGGCACTGACTTGTTTTATACTTTTGTGTTTTATTGTTGTCTTATTTATTTGTTACAGTTGCACACATTTGGCAAATAATGTGTCGATGCTTTTTATTTTTTTTAATGTATCTTTGGCGTTGATTACAAATATCAGAGCTACAAGGATCATCTGATCCGTTGTCCGATGATGTTTCCTTAATATTCACCGAAAAACACTGGTAAACGTTTGTGGGCATAAATAGAGAGCGAAAAGAAAAACGAAAATTTATTTTAAAGTAAACGCCATAAAAGTACGCCGAATTTCAAAAAAATAACAACCGAAACGCGGAACTCTAGTTATAGTTCATATATCTCGCATTCCGACGGCTTTAGTGAAGATTAACTTTCCTAATAGTTTGTCAGTGCGAGCCATCAATCTTGGATATGAGGACCAGTTCCCGAGCTCGTGCAGTGATCCAGCCAATCACAATACGGATATTAATGTCCGATCTTTTACAGTTCGGTCTTCTGGTTTATAGCTAAGAGCACTAACCTTTGTCCATCAAATCTATAGCAGTTTTTCTATTTATTTTTGTTTCCGACGGGGTAGCTTTTTAAACATTGCTTAAAGGGGCGATGCAACAATTTTTGTACTTTGCGCAAATACCGCTTTGAACGGATCCCTGACGTTAATGACCTATGAAACACGCGTTCGCTTTTCACCCCACGCAATAGAAGTTCCAGAAAAAAATTAAAGAAAAACGAGCAGCGTTCACATCCTCAACTCGCAGCCAGAACAAGCGGCCACGTGATCTGGAGCCGATTATGTGCAGCCAATGTTGATCATGGCAACGCACTGGGGTTGGCAAAGCACAGGACACGCGCTGAGTTCCAGACATTGTTATGGCTCGGCTGTTGTCGTCGTTGCAGCGATTGGGCACGGGCCACTACCCGAATGCTTCTCGAGCTAGTAATTATCACGAGCCCAAATCGAGTGTCCACGCAATGTTCGGGTCCAATCTATAAGCCACATTCAAATATCGTCATTGGGGTATACTGCGATCCCCACGTTACGTCATCAAGTTTTGCAAAGGAGAGATTGAATGAAAATGATCGCTTTTGTCCTTGAAATTACACCGCAACAAAGAAGTTTCTTGGCCAGTGGCGTTGCGGGCGGGTATTCTTGAGTCCCACTAGTGCCAGTAAGCTCGTGTAAAGTGAAAAAAAACATTCTAATTGAATATCGTTGCACCGCTTCTTTAAATGCCGAAAGCAAACGTTACATTTTGTCTTGATATCTTGTTAAGACCTCTTTAATCGACTGCCTCCTCCGCACATTTCCTTTCTTTTCATATTCTCTTTTGGGTAGTGACTTGAGAGCGGGAGTTTTGGAAACAATAAACAAGTCCCTTTTTATTAGGGATCCCATATAAAAGATTTCACAAAGTATACTTTACTTACTGTTAACCGCAGAAATTACACTTCAAGTCAATATTGGTCCTGAAACCCGAAAATGTCTTTCAATATTTTATTGTTTATTTTTTTAACTGAATAATTAAATTAGTTTAATACTTTCAAAATTCAGGGGCCACTACGAGGGCGTTACCCGGAGAACCTTCTTTTTCGGTTTTATTTTATTTTTAACATTATTCTTCTTGAGGTCATTCCGACTTCCAATGTCCTAGTTATTTCTAAAATCTCATTTTCGGAAACCCAAACACAGCTTCGCCTTCCGGAAAGAAACGACGTACTATTATTTCCGCTTATGGTTGATGAGACGGACATTTGTGCTATTTTTCGCTCTTTAACGAGCTAACATTATCGTTTAAATGTCCTAATCGATAAGGTATATTATCAACATAGCTCTTTCTTTATCTTCTTCAGTTACACTGGAGCGATAATTCAATATTGAGATCATAACACGAATATTATGTCATATCTTATTTGCATACGCAGTTAAAACCATTCGTGTGCCGCACGACACGCGCTATCCAGCTATCAATAATTGTGTAAGCTCATCCTCGGCGCATCTGGGGGATCGTGTCTCAGTCCCTGTCAGTCTCCTTCACAGCTGCTGGTGTGCGTAGACGCACGTGAAATCTGTGAAACAAAGTCTGCGCAAGTTAGTACTCGAACGATGAATACGACGCCATCATGTGAAATTGCGAAATTCTTGCATATTTATTTGACGGCCGAAAAAATGATGTATCTCATTTAAGAAGTTTTTATATGTTCATTTGTTGTGTATATTTGTTGTGTTTAAGGGCATGGTTTAAATTAGAAAATTGCTCAGCATCATCAAAAAACAGTAAATCAACAAATTGCAGAACGATAGAACGCACACGAAGCATTTTATGGCTTTCCAAAAAATCGCACAAATTCGACGGGTTTTTAAGTTTCGGTTTGCTATCGGAGCGCATCTCGGCCCCGGCGGCACCGCGCCCCGTGGAGAAATTGTGCAACTAACCTCTGCTGCGCTCGAGCGCTTGCTATCGTTATGCAGTTTGTTGATCTAGTGTTTTTTGATGATGCTGAGTAATTTTCTAATTGAAACCATGCCCTTAAGGACCATATTAAAAAAGGTAATTACGCAAAAAGGTTTAACAACTTAATTATCCCGGATTTTAATAATTTTTCTCATTGGGCCCTCGGCCAAGGACCAAAACGCCACAAACCTTTTTTCGTTGCGACGAGTAGTTTTCGCAGGAGCGATATGGCATGCGTTCTCTGAAACACCCGGTATATATATATATATATATATATATATAT